TGGAAGATCCCAGTGGGACAGCACTGAAATGCAGGACCCACCAGACGTCTTTGCTGAGGGCTTTCCTAAGAGGGCACAAAACACCTGGCCAGGGCCAGCACAGCCCAGGAACCCCAGCCCAGCCTAGCTTCGAGGCGGTGAGGCCTGGGGAGTGGCTGGAAGGCCCAGGTGGTGGGGCCTGCCCCCTCCACACAGCAGGTGGCGCTGTTCATCCAGTCAGTCCTGCCTTGGCCGCAGAGTCAAGTCACTGACCCAGCCAAGCTGACCGGACCTTTCCCTTCCCCTTCCCTTGCCCCCATCTCAGCCCCCAGTGTGCAGTGACCCTACTTGGTGAGGGGCTGGGGAGGGTGATAGAAGAATGCCCTCGGTCTTAGAGCCTGTCTTCACCCACAGCCACTGAACAGAAGAAGAAACGGGCCAAACAAGGGTGAAGACCTGCCCAAGGTCGCCTGGGAGGTGGGGACAGACCGGGGACCAGAATCAGGGCCTCCCAGCCTAGGACTCCGGCCTCCACCACACCTGATGATTTTCAGAGGTTCTTTGCCCTCAGTGGTCTCATTGGTCTGCAAATTATCCTGTCCAGTGAGCACAGCACAGGCAGAAGAAACTGAAGGCCAGGGAGGCTCTGTGGCTTGCCTGGGGCCGCAGCCAGTGTGTGGCATGGGGAGGGTCTTGAGAGGTCAGTGCTGGGAAGGGCTAGAGAGGCACTCTGCCTGGAGCTCCACTCAGTACCTGCAGCAGCTGCCTCCTGTCCTGGTGCCGCTGCAGTCAGGAAGGGGATCTACCCTGCAGGCCCCCACACTCAGGTGCACGCTTGGGCCCTAGTCCAGGGAAGCTGGACACCCAGCCTCATGGCTTGCTGGATTGACACTCACCCCACTTTCAGCCCTTCTCTTCCTCTGTGAAATGGCCTGATGCCAGTGCTGTGTGGGTCCACGGGAGGGCAGGAGAGTCCCGGGGTGGGGAGGACAGGGCTCTACCTTCTCCTGGGCTGGCCTCTACACCCATTACCCATTAACCCTCAGGTCCCAGCATCCCTCTCCCCAGTGCTGCCTTCTGTCTGGCACCTCCTCCTGGCCCTGCTCCCACTCAAGGCCCAGAGATGGGTGCTGGGACCTGATTGGAACTGGAGAGGGCACCATTTACTGATCACTGACCTGGCACTTTACCTCCACTGTGAGGCAGGGATACTGAGCATCCTTTATAGATGAGGCCTCTGAGGACAGAGGGCAGACCTTGGGGACCAGGTGGAGCTGGCCACAGGGGACAGCCATGTCTTCTGGGCTAGGGCTGAAATCTCAGCCCCTCACTCACTGTGGCTCGGTAGGGAAGCCAGGGGCACAGATGGGGACTCATCTCCATTGATGGACCCCCTAGGTCCTGGTGTGCAAGTCCCCCGGGCCCCTTTCACCAGCCTAGCCACCTTTCTGCCCCAGTGATGCTTGGGCCCCAACTTCATTATGGACTTGGCAGATGGCAGCCTCGACTCTTGGCTGAGCCCTTGAGTCTGGGACATTTCAGTCACCTCTTTACTCCAGTCCAGAGATGAAAATCCCTGGGACAGTTGCTCCTTTGCTCAGTGACCTAGTTGAACAGGGGAGATGGCAGGGCCTGAGCTCCCTTGGCCAGATCAGCTCCTATGGGGTTAATAGGAGGCTCCATTCCACCCCTTCCAACTTCAAGGCTACCCCAGAAAATGAATAATCTATAATCTTAATTGATTATAATTCAAAGGAGTTGGAGCGTTAGGGACAAAGTACGAGTCTTCCCTTCTACCTCCAGCCCTTGCTGACCAGGACAGGGACAATGTGTAGCTCAACGGATGGTGGTGAGAACTTAGATGATGGTCAGTTATGTAGCACGTGGGATATGGAGGAAAGATCCATGGGTACGTGGAGGCTTATAGAGAAGCTGGTTCTGTGGCTGGTCCCAGGCAACTCATAATGTAAATCCATTTTTAAGAATCGCATGGTGTAGGCGGGTGTCTACTTTGTCCGAAAGCAGGCCTGACCCCGGGTGGAGGAGGGGCAGGGTGGAGAATAACAATTGTCTTAAGGGAGTCTGCGGAGGGAGAAAAACCTCTGGGTGCATCAGCTGGAAAAGAATAGGAGTCTCAGTGTGGCCCCTCTCCCCCCTCTCAGCCCAGCCCCTGCGCAGGCGGTGGGGGAGCTGCGGTCAGCACACACAGCTGGGGCCTCCAGCAAAATCCCATTCTATATATCTAAGAGCAACAGCTCCGAGAGCGGCCCCCAGAGGGACAAAACCTCATTGTGAGGCACCCGCCGGCCTCAGCACCCCCTCCCCCAACCCCAGAACTGTCGTGGCATTGACCCCCCTCGGCGGGCCACCATGGGCCTGCTGACTGGGCCACATCTGGGACTCAGGCACTGGCTGCCCCTCCCCCACGGCTGGCCACTGAGGACTGACAGGGAGGCTGGGGTGGGAGCGGCTTCCAGGCCTCTCACCCCATCCCCACGGGGCGGCCTGGCTTGTGCCCCGCCCTCCCCAGGGATGCTGCAAGGCAGAGGTGAGAGTCCGAGGCAGGCTAGGTTGGCATCTTGATCTGCCAGCAGTCCCCCACACCTCTGGCCTCTGTTTAGTGGCTTGTCAAACAGTGGTTGGGTGAGGTAGGTTTTTCCAGCTTTTATGTGCTGCCTTGAAGGGTCCTGAGAGGCTTCAAGTTGAGCCACTCTGAAGTGGGATGATTCTCTAGGTTGGGGATTCCAGAATTATCTGCTCCCAAGGTTTCAGAAGTCTGGGATTCCGTAGATTTTTGTTTGTTTGTTTGTGTTTGGAGATAGGATTTTGCTCTGTCGCCCAGGCTGGAGTGCAGTGCTGCAAACATGGCTCACTGCAGCCTCAACCTCCTGGGCTCAAGTGATCCTCCTGCCTCAGCCTCCCGAGTAGCTGGGATCACAGGCATGTGCCACCATGCCTAGTTAATTTTTTTATTTTTTGTAGAGACAGGATCTTGCCATGTTGCCCAGGCTGGTCTTGAACTCCTGACCTCAAGCAATCCTCCTGCCTCAACCTCCCAAAGTGCTGGGATTACAGGTGTGAGCCACTGGAGCCTGACTGGATTTGGTAGTTTGAAGATGCCACCATCCATTCATTCAACACATTTATTGAGCACCTACTGCGTGCCAGGTCATGTTCTTGGTGTTGAAGTTATAGCAGTGACCGATACAGAAAAATATCTTGCCCTCATAGGGCTTCCGTTCTAGAGCAAGAAGGATAATAACAGAAACTAAATAGGAATCATTTACATGGTGAGCAAGAAAGGCCTAGGTAGGGAGAACTGCTTTAGGTAGGGTGGTTGAGGACATGACATTTGAGCTGAGACCAACTGCTACAAAGAACTAGCCATGTGGAGACAAGCATTGTAAACAGATGGAATAGCATGTGCCAAGGCCCTGTGGCAGGTGTGGACCTCGCATGTTTGAGCAATGGCAAGGAGGCCTTAGTAGCTGTTATTCAGTGAGCAATGTAGAGAAGGGAAGAGCTGAGGTCAGTGGTAGAGGTGGGGCCTGAGAAACCAGAGCAAGACATTCAGATGTTGTTATGAGTGCAAAGGGAAACTTAGTTTTGCAAAGGAATGACATGATTGGATGTATGTTTCAGAAAGGGTGATTTGGGAGGACTGAAGGGGAAATCATTGAGACAAGAGGCTGTGCAAGTTGGGTGGAACAGAGATGCAGAGGCAGTCAGTCATAAGGGTGAAGGCAGGGGCACAAGGACAATGGCTTTATCCTGGACTTATATCGAGTTAGAACCTCCAGGTTTCATTATACCAGACAGGGCCACGGTAAAGGAGAGCTTGGATTCCCGGGGCAGCCAGGATTTGACTCTGAACTTTAATGACCTTGAAACTCTTGGCCAGGGCTGGGAGCCGTGGCTCATGCCTGTAATCCCAGTACTTTGGAAGGCCAAGGTGGGCGGATCACCTGAGGTCAGGAGTTCAAGGCCAGCCTGGCCAACATGAGGAAACCCAGTCTCTACTAAAAATACAAAAATTAGCTAGGCATGGTGGCAGGTGCCTGTAATCCCAGTTTCTCAGGAGGCTGAGGCAGGAGAATCGCTTGAACCCAGGAGGCGGAGGTTGCAGTGAGCTGAGATCGCGCCATTGCACTCCAGCCTGGGCAACAGAGCGGAACTCCATCTCAAAAAAAAAGAAGCTTTTAGACCGGCATTGTCCAATACCACAGCCACACGTAACTGTTTAATTACAATTAAACAAAATAAAAAAATCAGTTCTTCAGTCTCAATAGGCACATTTCCAGTACTCACTTGTGGCCAGTGACTACCATACTGGACAACACAGGAAACATTTCCATCACCACAGCCACAGGACAGGACTTCCTGGCAGTCCTTAATGCATTAAGCCTCAGTTTCCCCATCTGTAAAATGCAGGTAACAACAACGTCTCCTTGATAGGGTGCCTGTGAGGACTACATGAGATAACGCCTGTGTGGCCTGGCATATAACACACGTTCCCTAAATGCAGGTTGTTATTGTTGCTGAGCTGGGTGGGTGGCTAATGAGAGGGATGGGGGCTGTCTCTGAGGTTTGGATTCGGAATCGTGACATCTTGTCCTGTGCAAGACGAAGGCGAGGACAGCGAGGGCACACCCTTCCAGTCCCGACCCCACAGAAGCCAGGTGGCCCTTCGCCCCCATCCCGACCCGGGAAGGCCCAAAGCCCTGCAAACCTGGGATGGCCCCGCTCCCCCGACCCGAGACGGCCCCGCGCCCCGCAAACCTGGGACTGCCCCGCGCCACTCGGATCTGGGAAGGCCCCTCGACCCGCAAGCCTGGGACGGCCCCGCGCCCCCCGACCCGGGACGGTCCCGCGCCGGGACGGCCGCAGGCCCCGCAAGCCTGGGACCGCCCAGCGCTGAGCGCCGCCTGCAGGAGTCGGGAGCGTGGTGCCCGCGACAGGGCTGGGCGCGGCGCTGGCCGGCAGGGGGCGCTGGGCGCGGCGGGCGGGGCGCGTGGGGCGGGCAGGGGCCGGGCCAGGGCCGCGCGGGGGGCGAGCGCGGCTGCGGACCGGGCGGGACCGCAGCCGGAGCCTAGCCGGGACTGTCGCGCGGGCCGCGCCGGCGATGCCGCGCCCCCGGGCCGGGCTGTAGCGGGGCCGCGGCTGGAGTGCGCGCCGGGCAGGCGGGACATGGAGGTGGTGGACGAAACGGAGGCGCTGCAGCGCTTCTTCGAAGGTGAGAGACCGCGGGCTGGCGGCGGCGACCCTCTGGCTCTGGGAACCCCCGGCTGATCTCCCCGAGGGCTGGGGCCCCCCGCTGTGCTTCCGCCTCTTCTGGCTGGGACCCTCCTTCAGGCTGGCACCAGCCCGCCAAGACAGGCTGCCGGGGCTAGAAGTCCCCTGGCGGTTACCACCCACCGCCGCTGAAGTTGGACTCCCCCTCCCCGCTCCTCAACTCGCAGCTTCCTTGGGACTGTGTCCCCTTCCAGGTCCGGACCTCCCTTGAGCCTTCCAGGACCCGGAACTTTCCCTAAATTGTGACACTCCCGCCCCCAGCAAACTTCCCGAGTCTGGGGACCCTCCACTGTTCTTCCCCAGAACCCCAAGCGGGCTAGAATCCCCTTCAAGGCCCAGACCCCCAGCGTGCCTTCTAGGACCTTCCATACCTCTTGAGGCTGGACTCCAGCCTGCTTCCCAGAATCTGTGACCCCCGCCTAGAGACCAAGACCCCCTGTGTGCCCTTGAGGTTGGCGCCATCACCCTTGACTTCTAGGAGGAGCTGGGACCTCCCCACTGTGCTTCCATGAGGGTAGGACCACTTTAGAGATGGGGACCCCTTGGAGACTGCCACCTGCTTTCCACAATGCTGCCTCTAGTGACTCCTCTGCTGTTTGGGGCTGGGACCCCCCTCCCTAGCATGCTCTCCTAGGGCTGGAACCTTCTTGAAGCTGACATCCCTGCCACCAGTTACCTCTGCTCTCTGAGACCCTTCTAGTACTGTGAACTCCGTCCCACCAGCCCTCTGAGGCTCCTCAGCACTGTGTCCCCCCAACCATGGAGCTGCGCCTCTCTGACCTCGCCCCCTGAAAGAGTGACCTCACCCCCCCTTGACCCTGAAAGGAGCCCTCTGGGGTGGAATTGACATACACTCCATAATATCTTCTTCTGCCCCCACCCCTACATTGGTTTTGGAGGTCTGCTCCTACATCTAACCAACTCCCTGTCTTTTCCTGGACGGCCCCTGCCCCTCCTGCAGGGCTGCCACTCCTCCTGGTGGTGGGTTCTGGAGGGATGGGACAGCCATGGGAGGGGGAGGGGAAGTGCAGGCTGACGCCTCCCAGCTCACTCCACTTCTCAGAACCTCCCTGGAACATCTAGCCAGACCCTCTGGCCCCCTTTTGTGCCCCTGTCTACCAATGTAGCGAGCCCAGCCCCTGCCCCGAGCTCCCCCTAGTCCCTAAGGCCACATCCTGCTGCTTGGTGCACTGAGAACATTCCTTCATGTGTGAACCTATCAGGGCTGCAGGGCAGGGAACCAGGGCTGAAGTTTCAAGCCCCAGATTCCTGTGGAGTCCTGTGGAAGAGAGAAGCAGCTCTTCCAGTGCCTCAGTTTCTCTCCCTCTGTGACTTGGGAGGTGGGAACCCTTATTCACGCCTATTGGCTGAGCAGCCCAGGCAGGGGCACCCCAAGCCTCAGTCATCCCACTTCAGGATTCTGGACACCCCACAGACCCAGACCCCAAGAATTCAGGCTTGGACTAGATTGAACGGTTGACTCTGTGCCAGCTGGGCCATCTGAGGGTCTTAGGCAGCCCCCCATCTGTCCCGGGGCTCTGGCTCTCCCCAGACACTGTTGATCCATAGGAGCTCTCAAGGGGCCTGACGCGGTTTGAGGCCTTCAGGGAAGAGGGGACTAGACATTCGTGCCTGCTTGGGTTACTGTTTGGGGTGCCTTAAGCCTGCTGGGTACCCAGAGGACCCGTAGGCCAGGCTCCCTTGACTTCCACACTGCCTTCCTCAGGACCCTGGACCTGGACAGAGAGCAGAGGGGTGGGCCTGGCTGGCCTGGACTCCCTGGCTCTCTCCTGACCATGGGTTGGGGGGTGGGGGCTGACGCCACGGCTTAGCCATGCAGCGGCCTGGCAGCCTGGCGGGGGGAGGCTGTGCTGCTCCCTCTAGAGAGATAAGAGGAGACTCAAGAATGTCTGTGGGGAGCAGGGGAGGGGTGTGAAGCTGCCCGCCTAGGAGGGCTGGGCTGGAAACAGCTCCCAGCCTCTGCGATGGGGGAAGGTGTGGGTGGGCCCTGAGGGCTAGGGTCTCTGGGCCACTTGGGAGGGGAAGGCCCATGTAGAGGACCCACTGTAGGTGTGAGAGCGGGCCTGGGAGCGGCAGGGCCTGGTGTGCGTGTGAGTGTGAGTGTAAAGTGCGAGGGAGCGGGAAGTTGTGCTTCTGAGCCGTGGCTGCGTCACTCTTGAGTGCTCTCACACTCGGGACTGGGGCTGGGGACACCTGAGCTCTCCTCCTGGTCCCCACTTGGCCTTGGTCATCCCTCTGGACAGTTGATAGTGGACCTGTGATCTCGGCTCTGGGCTGGGAGACTGGGAAAGGGTTTTACTGAAGGGGCTGCAGCACAGCGCGCCCCCTCACTTGACGTGGTGCCCCTCCCTGGGCACACCAAGCATAGGTGCTGGGTCCTGCCCTGTGCCGGTGGTGGGCTGGGGGCTAAGGCGCTTTGGACCTCGGGTGGGAGGCCGGGACAGGGCGGCCCCCTCGAGGCTGGTACAGCCGGGCCCCCGTGACCGCCCGGCTAATCCCCTAGAGAGAGGCAAGGCAGCCCAGATTGGCGGGCACAGGGCCTGCAGAGAGGGGACCCACCGGGCAGGATGCACTGGCTCCCAGCAGGTAACCGGGCCACAGTGTAAGGGGGCCTTGGACCCCAGAGCCAGGGCAGGCACGGGACAGGGCAGCGTCTGAGAATCTGGCCAGGACCTCAGAGTTCTAGTGCAGGCTGGACCACTGAGAGCGGGGTGACTGTCTGTGCCTGGCAGGGAACCCCCAAAGAGCTTTTGCCCTCTCTAGGACCTTTTTCCTCACCTGCAAGACAGGAGAGGGTGGCAGAGAAGAACCTCAGCTCTGAAGAAGCTCACCACCCAGCCCTGGGGAGGAGGGACATGTTAGAGTATGAATGGCTGAGCCTGGAAGGGGTGGCTGCTGGCCCCAGATTGTAGGGGCACATGAGGCTGGAGTGAGCAGCCCAGTGCCCCCCAGAAAGCAGGTGGGTGTGCAGGGAGCCTTGGAGGATGGAGGGACATCGCCTTCCAGCAGGTGCTGGAGAGACCACTTGGAGTTTAGTGGGGCCTCTGCCTGGCCTCTGGAGCCTCACTAAGGCTAGAGGAGGGAGGCCTGGGATTTCGCCCCTTCTGAAGCTGATGGGTGGCCTGGACTAGTGACTTCCTTCTCTGGCCTCATTCCCCTCCCAGGGTAAGTAAGTGCGTTGGACCAGAGCAGGGGCTTCCAATGTAATTTTTTTAACCATTAAACAAACTCATAGTCTCCTGATAGGGCAGATACAGTGGATAAGGGGGGCTGGGCTCCCCACAGCCCCTGGAGCACCAGGATACTGGTTCAAAAGCCACCCTTCCCAGCTGTGGGATGGGTGAGGGGAGGGGAATGGTGCTGGCTGAGGCTCCGAGAGAAGGGAGTTGGCCAGAGTTAGCCAGAGCGGACACCTAGCCCCCAGCTCCCTACCCTGCCACCAGTACCTTCGTGTGGGGGGCTACCTGTCAGGTACAAACATCTCTGCCTCTGGAGGGCAGGAAGAGGTCCCAGGTAGAGACTACCTGACGATTTGGAAGAGAGGACCCCCACCTGGACAGGAATCCGGGGCTGAGCTGGGCTGTGTGATGGAGGTGGCACTGTGGCCTGTGTCAGCCTGTCTGTCTCTGTCTGTCCCTGGTGCACCCAGGGAGTAAGTAGATGGGAGGGGTGGCCAGGCACAGGGTTTCCTGACCCCTGACTCCCAGGGAGAGGACCTGCCTCCTGGGTCCATCCAGAGCCCCGCTGAGGACTCCGGTCCTAGCCCCAGTGCATGGAGCTGATTGCCAGACCCGCCCCAGGCCCTGAGCCTGGCAGGGAAGGAAATGGTAGTGGGGGGTCTGACTCATCCCTGTGTCCCCAGCACCCAGTGCAGGGCAGGGGTGGGGAGTGGGCAGGAAGTGTTCTCAGGGTCAATGGAGGCAACAATGGGTATGTGAACAGAGGCAGTGGGGGTGGGGGACGCACCCCAGAAAGCACCTCTCTGGAGGGCTTGGGGTCAGTGCAGGGGTAAGAAGCAGGCAGTTACCAACCCTTTGGCCTCAGGGACTCTCCTGAGACTGGAAAGCTGGACGGAATGCTCCTTGGGGTCTTAGGTAGAGCCAAGGATGGCATTTGAGGGCAGAATGGCCTTTTCCCTGGGGGCCTGGCTCCCCACTTACAAACTCCCAAGGGGTTACAGACTGGAGGGCCCTGGCAGCAGAGGCTGCTGGGTAACAGCCCAGCGGGGCTGCTGATTGGCTGTCACCCTTGGACTTTGCCCTCCCTGATAAGGAGCAGGGAGCAGAAATTATTAACTGAATCATTAACCGGGTGGCCCCGCCCTGCCCAGGCAGCCTGCCTTACCTTCCCACCTTCCTCCTCACGGACCTAGCACATTCCTGGGCCTCAGTTTCTCTCATTGCCTTGGGTGTTGGAGTATGTGGGGGCCTTCTCTTCTATTTCCAGGCCTTCAGCCGCTGCTGCCACAGGGTGTGGGTACCTCTTGGTTGGGTCTCGGGGTGGGATGATGTAATGGTTCTGTGCATTTGCCAGCGGGGGCAGCTGGGGTCTGTTCCTAGCTCTGCTGCTTACCCACAGTCCTTCTCTTGGCCGTATCAGGGCACCGCTGTGCCTCTGCTTTCTCATCTGTAAAATGGGAATGCAGTTGTAATGGCAAGGTTTCTGGGGTGTAATCCCAGGGTTTCTGGGGTGATTAAGTAAGATAGTGCCTGGCCTGGTGAACACTCCATTGGCCCATGGCAGGTGTTCTGCGTCCTACCTTGAAGATGACTGGTCCCCAGGATAGGTCAGTGCCCCTAAGCTTAGGGGGCTTGTCGAGCACGTTCTGTGGTTCTGTGCACAGGGCCTGCACCATGACAGCTTTGGCCCAGCGTGACCTGGTCCTGGTGCCTGGCACATCCAGTAGGCCCACCCCACCTC